AGGCTGAAATAAGGAACCTATCCCACCCTTTTGTAGAGTCAGTTTGTAGGTTCACTGACTCCCATCGTGAAAAAAAGAATTTACAGGACACACCAAGAAGAGGCTGGAGAGGGATTTATTAAGGCAGAGATTTTAGGATGCGCTCAAGAGTGAAGTGCTCAAGAGGGAAGTGTGGACATTTGGAGAAACGAGGTGTCGCTTGAGAAGGAGCTGTGTATATTTATCGGGTATTGGAAGTGTCTTAAAGATGGTGATCTAGGATATGTATTCCTACTTCTATCAGGTTGCCCATCTGGCAGGTACGTCAGAATGCAAGCCATCTACGGGTATAAAGTGGAGATATATTGTCCACTGATTGCTCCTTTGTAGTGGATGGAGGAAGCCTCATTTGCTGATGAGGAATTCGCTGTTTTCCCACCAACACTTGGCAATTTCTTCTCTTTCTTTTTTTTTCTTCTTTTTGGAAACAGCCATCCCAGTGGGGTGAAGTGATACCTCCTTGTGGTTTTCATTTGTATTTCCCCAGTGATTAGTGCTGTTGAAAATAGTTTCCTGTACTTACTGGGCATTACTGGAGATATTTTTAAAAAGAAATGCCAGGAATCAGAAATTTTCTAATCCTGACCTTCCCAAGTTCAACCTGTTCAAGTTCTCCTTGCATTTCCTGAGACTCCTCGACCCTTTTCCCTTTTTTGCTTAAATTCACTCAGCTTGATCTCTGTTACTTGTAGGCAGTACTTGGAATTCAGCTTTCACCAGGACCTCCACGGTCCTCCTTACTTCCACAGTGTAATTAACTGCAGCATTGTGTCTACCTTTCTTTCTTTTGCAAAGTATTGTAGCTATATTCCTACTATTCCTTGCTTATCTTTAATTAGGAAAAAGTATTAGGTATGGCAAGGAAACAATCTTCAAAATCTTCCTTTGCAGTTTACGGTAATGTGTACAGGACAAAGGCTCTCAGAGGGGACCTTTTTTCCTGTGTGAGTCTCAAAGACTCATGTTTACCAGTCCCCTTTAATCTCGTACTCTCTCCTTTGGCAGGATGGCAGGGTCCTAGTAGTTAGTGTATGCAGCCACTCAGGCAGTACTCAAAGGGTAGGGGAACGGCAACCTTGGGGGTTGGAGTTATGGGGTAGGAAGGTAGGGAGTAGGGTGGGAGTGGAGTTTGCTGGGGACTAACGATGTAATTAATGCCAATTCCCTGCTATTCCTGTTTTAAGATTTCATAAGGAAGAGTGAGAATCAAATGATATAATCTGTAAGTTGTACTTCACCCAATGTATTTAGGAAAAAAGTAAAGGTTAACTGTCTCTCCAAAAGGGATAATTTTATATCAGAGAATTTAAATTTCTTTTATTTGTAATGTAAATTTCCCTTAGCTATGTAGGGAGCATGAGATATAGATATTTTACCTTTTTTTTTTTTTTGGTACCAGGGATTGAACTCAGGTCCTTGCACTTGCAAGACAGGCCACTGAACCACTGAGCTAAATCCCCAGCCTTATTTTACTTATTTTTAAATTAATATCTGCATTTCATGTAACAAGATGGCTTTCTGATTTTGCAGTAATTAAACTTAAACAAATGCCACAACTAGAAAAGGCCACTGGCCGTGCCATTGTTTAAATGTGAAATGAGGATAAGATCAATGCCTTGACTTTCTATAATCATTATTGTGGTCATATTAAATGTCATTTTTTTCTACCTTCATTCTACAGTCAGGCTTCTGAAGCAATGAAGAAAAAGAATAAAGTTATAGTGTATTCCACTGACAACTTACATGATTCAAATTAATATTCTTTAAGGAAGTCTACAGTTTTACTAAATAATAGCTCAGCTCAAATTAAAATGGAAATTGCAGTAATATTTTTCCTCTGTGAAAGAACTCCTTTGTCTGATGTATCATTGTAACCTCATTTTTCCTTCTGTTATTAGATTGATCATTTAGTCTTTTTTTGTTTTTGTTTTTGTTTTTTGTTATTTTTTGCTTTTGGGAATAATCACAAGCTTGGAGACTTGCCCTCAGTTTCACCCAATCCTGCATCCTGGGACACATCATCGGGATGCTGGAAAAGAGCATGTTGGACCCCTTCTATTTTTCTGTCCTGATTTTGGAAGAGAAGTGAGTTAAAGAGACTTCATACTTTATCAGTATGGGGTGTTTTTGTCTCTTCCTTTTGCAAGAAATTTTACCCTGCCTGTTTCAGAATGACTAGTACAGATCTGGAAAGACTGTGGGTTTACCTTCAGGGAGCAGAAATGACAGAGCTCAGACCTACTACTGTACAGCACTTGGTACTAAGAGATCTGTTGCACACGATTACAGTTTCTGTTCATAGCCATTTGATTCTTTAGCTGTGGTCACTCTATCTCTCTGAAGAATGTTGGTGACCTTCATTCCTTTAGACTTTATGGAAGACAGTGGTTCTTTGAGGCTTCAATGTCCTTGCTCCTCCTGGCTCTAAACACATCAAACTGTTTGGTTAACAGTTGTTAGTGTGGCCCCGGGCAGCCTCTGCAACTGGGCTGGAAACATGGTTTGGTGCTAGTGAAGGCTTTGAGACATTGACTTGGTGTCTTCATTTCCCTCACTGGGCCATAGGTTGTCTTCTCTAGTGTGCAGCTCATAGGCTCCTTAGTTGTCAACAGGCTCTGACAGATATCTGTGATCATGGAAGTCATATTTTAAAACACGAAGTCACAGAGGGCACAGAGTATGTATTGGAAAGAAATGACCCCTGGATGTCATCATTAAAAACAATCAAAGCCGATGAGATAGAATGCTGGAGAGAGCTAAGGTTAGTAACATGCCACACTGAAACCAGTCGCAAAATGACATTGCGATTTCTGACATTCAGGCAATGTCTACCCCATTCTGCCTCCAACTCTGTTTCTACCAGAGCTTGTAGTCTATACAGTTTAAAGGGTTGACAATCTTTATGCCAACTTCATCGCTTCATCCCAACACTTTCCTTTCACCTGAGAAAAGGTAGTGGCTGTAACCAATCCTAGTTCATAGTGATGTCTTGTTTGTCTGGATTTCTCCAGACCGCTGCCCAGTGGCTGATCCATAGGGCTACTCAGTACATCAGTACCTAACTGCTGAGTGCAAGAGTTCTCTGCCACTCCAGCCCTTACCAGAGCTTGAATGTTCTTTTCAGACATCATTGCCTGACAACATCTCATGACTGCTTATAGGATTTTTGGTAGAATGTGTAGCTGTGGTCTCTGAATGCTCAATTTAAGAGGAAAAAGAAGGGTGTAGATCTTGGGAAAAAAATGCTGCTTAAAAATATTTGCTAGTGATTTTGTCTTCTTTGTGGTCTTCAAAATCTCTCAAGTTACTGGAAGCTCCCTCTTCAGGAGTTTTTAACTCTGCCTGACTGCGCCTCTCTCTATTTCCATGGATACCTAAAACTCATGTGGCCCAAGCTAAACACACTTAAAAAAAAAATCTATTCCACTTTGGTAATACTGTCACACTTACTTTTTTTTTTTTTTTTTCCTAATTTAGGACTGGGGTTGACTTCTGTCTTTTTCTGCCTCTGCTGCATGTTACTGTGCTGTTGAGTCCTGCCAGTCCTGCCTTTCTAGCCTCCATGACATCTGTCCCCTCGGTACACCCAGCTGCTACTTTCTTCTTTACATCTTCTGTGATTTTTCTCCTCTTTCTGTTTAATGATCTTGAGTCAGATTTAAAATTATGCCACCCAATCACTCACCTTTTGTCTGAAAGCCCCCAACTATTTCTGAAGTATTGGCACCAGACTGGGTTTGAGGAGGTTTCCAAAGCTGAGATGAAGAACTTGATCCACCATAAACATAGAAAGTTTGGAGTGTCATGGACGTCTGTTATGATAAAGGAATTTCTAGGACATATCCCTAAAAAGCACAGGAAGGGTTTATTAGGCAGAAATTTTAATCCACACTTCGAAGTGGAGCACAGGTCCTCCAGAGACCCAGACACATTATTTCCTGGAGCAGGGGACATTATGTTTCTTTGAAGGGGTGAGCATCCTAGGAAAAGGTGGCCTTCTCCCCAGAAGGCCATGTTACAGATATGAGCCCATTTTTTTTTCAAAAGATAGGTAATTTAAGCATTATTTGGATTTTCCCAACTTGTTCCTTTATCTTAAAATCAGGTCCCTTCTCAAGTCAGCCAATTTATTGACTTTCAGCATTCCTGAGGAGTTTTGGGTGTGATGGGCCTGGCATCCGGACTCCACCCTGGCTCCACCCCTGTATTTCCTGAATAAAGTGGAAGTGTTCCAGAAACCTGCCCGAGTCTGTGTGGTGATTTTGCACCTCGCCCTCCCAGTTTCGGCCCCTGAACCTTGTTTTGCGAGCGAGCTCGAGGATGAAAACAACAGAGCCTAAATTTAGCCGAGGGAGTGCTGACATGGATAGCCTAGAATAACTCCCACTGAGGCCCAGATGTTTCATGCTTCTTAAAATGCAATTACACTTATGATTTCTTTGTCTCCTTTTTAACCTATCTTTTAATTTTTCTATCCTGCCTCAGAATGATGACTGTAGCTACAGGTTTTAAAACTGCATTATCCAGAAGCAAAAAACATAAAGCACAACCTGAGGACATCATGCTCAGTGGCATAAGTAAGGCTCAGAAAATCAAGTGCTATCCAACCAATCTCGTTGACATAGGAATTCCAAAAAGTCAAATTGGTAGAGTACATAACACAAAGCTGGGGGGGGGTGATGGAATGGGAAAGTACAGGGTGAGAGGTGTAAAGTTTCAGTTAGGAAGAGTAAATCCTGTGAATATTGTGCAGTACAGTGACTAGATATAGTGATAACGTATATTCAAAAATTGTTAAAAAAGCAAACATGAAATGTTCTCACCACAAAAAGTAAGTATATGAGGTAATGGATGTACTAATTAACATTATTTGATAATTCTATAATAAATACATATATCAAAATACCACATTATAACACATAAATATATATTTTTGTTAACGTAAAATAAATAGGAAAAGTCCAACGTGGATATCCTCGGAGGTCATCCTCCCTGGGCTCTGTCCAGGTGGCACAAGGCTCTGCCCCATGATGTACCGTCTCTCTCCACAATGTTGGAGAAGGAGCTGGGCTTTGTGTCTGCAGCTGCATATTTCTACAACTTCTCAGAGTCCTTTGGATAAACTATGAAGAGATAAACTATGCCGGAAACAGTCACAGATCTCGCTCTCACTTTCTGAGTATAACAGCTTCATTTAAGAAAATTTTGCTTTAATCTCTTACTTGGTGTGTCATTTTTCTTGCAGAATTCACTAAAGATTCCAAATAGCTTTTTTGGGGGAGGGAGGGCAGAAAGGAACCACACTGGATTTGGCCATTCACCTGGGAGATGTGTTCAAAGATACAGTGGGTGTTGCTGCTGAGTCCCATCCAAGGGAAAAGGAGGGATTCTCAATACAAGAAGTCGCTTGTGGAACTTTAGAAACAGTGTGACAAGTTTTTTACTTGTTCATCAGTGAGCTGGAGTTGAGAAAAGGTGGTTTCGACTCTGCTACAAATAGTGGATCAAGAACAACGCATTAACATGAAATTTTGTTTCAAACTACAAAAAAATTGCCAAAGAAACAAACGAAATAATAAAATTAGTGTATGGTGATGGTTGCAGTGACTTAGAGACGGTTTCCGAGTGGTTCAAGCAATTTTCTAATCAGTTGAAGACAAAATGAATGAACTTCAACATCAAAAACTCACCAGAAGATTGAGAGTAGGTGAAACGATTAGACTATTAAGGACATTTCAGAGGATCTGAAGGTCTCCTCCATTCAAAGCATTTCAACAGATATGGATACAAGTGGAGTATCAAAATTGTTCCACACGTTGGACTGCTGAACAAAAGTAACATTCATTTGTAACTCTCTTTGGAGCTGTGCACTCTGCCACTTCAGGTTCCAATATTTTAGTCAGTGTCATCAGGGAACAGAAACTTAGGTCTGTGATTATGACGCTGAGACCAAGTTTCCAGGTTTTCAGTGGAAATCACCCAGGTGGCCTTGTATAAGGAAAGTACATCAGTTGAGATCCAACCTGAAGGCGGTACTGTATTTTCCTTGATAGAGTTGTGAGATTTGAGTTTGTAACCAGGAATATTAGCCAGGAATATCTTGAATATTACAAGAGCTTATTAGAGCATTTGTGACATGATGTATGAAGAAGACAGCCTGAGAAATGGGTACATGTTTTTTTTATTGGTACATTTTAGGTATACAATACAGTTACATTTCTCATTGGGATCTTGTACCTTTGCAAGATATATCTTGGTTCTTATTTTTTCCCCATTCCTCTGGCCTCCCTTCACCCCCTCCATCCTTCCCTATTTACAAAGACTTTGTTTCCACATTTTCATCTTCTCATATTTTTTCTTTTCCCTTATTTTCTTTCCTCTACCCTTCCCACTTCCCCTACACCTTTATCCCTTTTCTTCCTATTTCACATTGTCAATTATACCATTTATACTTATTTACACTTTTAGCTTTTCACACCAGAGAAACTATTTCACACGAGAGAAACTATTCGGTATTTACACGTGTGTCTTATTTATTTCACTTAGGAGTATGACCTCAATATGCATCCATTTTCCTATGAATGACTCTAGTTTCTCATTCTTTATGGCTGAGTAGTATTCCATTTTATAGAAAAACCACATCTTCTTTATCCAGTCTCCAACTGATGGGAATTTGGTTTGTTTCCAAGTTTTAGCTATTACAAACTGTGCCACTGTAAACATGGGTGTGTGTATATCTCTTGTGCTATGATTCTTTTAATTCTTTTGGAAAGATACCCAGCAGAGGGTTGGCTGGGTCAAATGGAACCTCTAATCCTAGTTCTCTGAGGTATCTCAATATTGATTTCCACAGTGGTTGCACCAGTCTGCACTCCCATCAACAGTGGAGAAGAGTTCCTTTCTCCCCACAACCCTGCCAGCATTTGTTATTGGTTGATTTCTTGATAGCAGCCATTCTTTGTCGGGTGAGGTGGACTCTCAGTGTTGTTTTCATCTGCATCTCTCCAATGACCAGTGATGTGGAACGTTTTTTTATATATTTACTTGCTGCTTTTACTTCTTTGTCTGAGAAATGTCTACTCATTTCATTTGCCCATTTTTGAACTGGGTCTTTATATTGGGGGGGTGATCTTTTTGAGTTCTTTATATATCCTAAATAGTAGATCTTTGTTGGAGAAACAACTGGGAAAATTATTTTCCACACATTGTAGGTTGTCTCTTAGTTCTGTTGGTTTCTCCTGCAGGGGCACACGGTTGTAACCTCCATCATTATGACAATCCATGTCATATATCACTTGATATAGCAATCTCTGTTAAAAATATAGTTGTCTACTTTACTCATTGGATCTGACAGTGCAAATTCTTGCTCTTCCCCAAAATCGAAAGGACCATGGAAAGTAAACATTTTCAATAGATTCAGATTATCAAGGTAGCCAACAAGCACAACTAAAGACAAAAGAGAACTGCTTCAGGGATTCCAGGCTGGGCTCAAAGGCATGGTCCTTCTGCCTCAGCCTCCCACTGTGTGGGAGTACAGGCTTGCACTACCATGCGTGGTGTTTGCCTCCTCTTTTTTAAACAGCCATATCAACTAAAAAGTATGCTATTCTAATATCAAAGCCTGGAACCATCCAAGAATTAGTCAAATTCTCTTGTCATCCAGATACCTTACCCAACCAGTAACAGTGGGCTACTTGTTAGCTATGTGTCCATTGACCTCAATGACGAATTTAAGGGGGCACTGGGCATGGGCAGGGCAATTAAAAGGCAGGAGTATGGCTCCTGGCCTTTGCCTCGATCTCCAGCATCCCAGAAAGTCCTGCCAAGATGAAATTTCTCATAACATATTTGGCTTTTTCCACCATTCTCAAGGAGAGAGATAGTGCTTTCCAAACAAAACTGGCCATGTTCTTGAATGAAAAAAATTACATGTGAAATATACCTAGCATTTCAAATCAAACTGAGTACTCATGAATTGAAATAAAGGTGACTGTGTGAGGAAAAAAATAAATAGGAGAAAATCAAACTATCTTTATTTGCAGATACTATAATGCTTTTTTAAAAAGAAGGCCCCAAAAAAGTCACCAGAAGACTTTTAGATATGATAAACAAATTCAGCAAAATGGGAGGATACAAAATCAACACAAAAAATCAATAGTGTTTCTTTACTCAAATGAACTCACTGAGAAAGAAATCAGAAAAATAATTTCATTCACAATGGCTTAAAGAAATTGCATACCCAGAAATCAACCTTATCAAGGAGGTGAAAGACATCTATGATAAAAATTACAGAACTATGAAGAAAGAAATTGAAGAGGGCATTAGAAAATGGAAAGATATCCTTTGTTCTTGGATCAGAAGCATATCGTGGAAATGGTAGCATTACCAAAAGCAATCTATAGATTTAATGAAATCTTTATTAAAATGCCAATAAAATTATTCACAGAACTAAAAAGTGTAATTCTAAAATTGATATGGAATAAAAAAGACTCAGACTAGCTAAAATAATCACGAGCAAAATAAACAAACAAACAAGGACATAAATGCTAGAGAAATCATAGTACTATATTTAAAGTTATGCTATGAAGTTATAGTAGCAAAAACAGCATGGAACTGGTACAAAAATAGACAAGTAGACCAATGGAATACAATAGAGGTCACAGAAACAACTCCACACACCTAGAGGCAGCTCATTCTTGACAGAAGGGGCCGGACAAATATTTTGGAGGAATACAGCCTCTTTCATAAACAGTACTGGGAAAACTGGGCATTCACTTACAGAAGAATAAAACTAGATTTCTACTTCTCATCTTGTCCTAAAATCAAATCAAAGTGGATCAAAGACATGCATATAAAAAATAGAAACACTGAAACTGCTGGAAAGACACTCAAAGCCATAGCCACAGGCAAAGGCATCCTGCGTAGAACTCCAGGAGCACAGAAATAATATCAAGAATTAAATGGAATCACATCTCAATAAAAGCTTCTGCCCAGAAGAAGAAACAATCAACAGAGCAGAGAGACAACTTACAGAGTTGGATATAGTTTTTGCTATGTAGTCTTCTGTAAGAGGACTATTGTAAAGAATATATGAAGAAGTCAAAAAAATTAACTCCTCTCCCAACAAGAGACCCAATCAAAGAGTGGGCAATTGAACTGAACAGACATTCTGAAAAAGAAGAAGTACACATTTCCAATAACTATATGAAAGAATGTTCAACATCTTTAGGCCTTAGAGAAATTGAAATTAAAAATACATTAAGGCTCCATCTCACCACAGTCAAAAAAGGCTATCGTCAAGAACACAGACGACAATGAGTGCTAGAGAGGATGCGAAGAAAAAGGAACCCTCCTACACTTTTAATGGAAATGTAAATTAGTACAATTACTGTGAAAATAAGTATTGATTATTCAAATAATTAAAGTAGAAATGCCATTTGATCTTGTTGTATTTCTCTAGGTACATTCCCGAAAGAGTTAAAGACATCATACTATGTTGACACATGCATACCCGTGTCTACAACACAATTCACAATAGATAAGCTCTGGAAACAGTCCCGGTGCTCATCACTGGATGAATAAATAAAATAAATGTTCACACAAAGGAATATTATGCAGCCATAAAGTGGAATGAAATCATGTCATTTGCAGGAAAAGGTATGGAACTCAACAGCACCATGTTAAGAAAAATAAACCAGACTCATAAAGATAAATATCATATTCTCATATATTAGAAATATAAAATATACATAAATAAATGAATGATGTAAAGGAGAGGTAATAGGTAACTAGAAAGTAAACCCTTGGAGATAGAGGAGAGGGTTGGGGGAGTTGTAGAGAAAGGACAAGAGGGTAAAAGGACTGAAAATGATCAAGCTATGTTACATGTATGTACCAACTCCATAAAAATGAAAATAAGTATCCTGTATTACAAACACGCACTAACAAAGAAGAAAATGATAAATAAATTAAAAAATTTAAAAACTGCTGTAAACATTTTTAAAAAGCAAAAGGCAGTAATACGTTATATTGAAGTCAATATGATTCATAACACCATTTCAGCATGTCATCAGTATAAAAATGACAGAAATGATTCACATGGTTTGTTTTCCTGTCTGTTCTTTGAAGTGCCTTTGGGCACATTGCTCATGATTA